TGATGTGCAACCACTACGCCACCAGGGCATCTCTTAACTAATTACACGGAGGGTTTAATTAAAAAAAAAAACCCAACACATTTCTGCGGCAACGCGGCACCAGCATTTCTAGGCAGTCATGGTAGTGTCCCTTCCTTGGAAGAGGCAGCAGTGTTGTCGGTCCCCCGGCTTCTCTATTGCAACCTCATCAGATGGGCCTCACAAGCAGGGACCACACTTGGAGATTGCGCTGAGCACAGCGCTGTGCGTACACTTGCGCACTGGGGACCACTGACTTGCTGGGTTTGCTGGTTTTCTCTGTTGCCCTTACGCACGCGCCCATGAGCTGTGCATCCGCTCGGGACAGCACCTGGCAGCTTGGACAGGTCATTGCGTCCTGCTGCAGGTGTGCGGCCTCCGGCCAGGCTCCGACCTCAGGCCGGGCTCCGGGGCGACGCACCTCCCTCTAATGGCGCACGCGTCATCGCGCTCACACCTCGCTCCATTAGCCGGGCTCTGTTCTGGTGTTTGCGTCTCCGCTCGCTTTTTAAGGACATTTCCAGCTCCGTCCCAGTGGCGCTTGCATCTCATTACGCTCTTGGCAATTAGCTCTCTATCATTACGCCCCAGCCTGGGTGGGGGAGGAGGACTCGTTGTCAGGTGTCAACCTGCGTGCATCTCACTTACACTCCTCCTGGAGCCGCCAGTGGCAGCCCTTCCACCTTCGCCAAAGGAGGACAGCCGCTTCCAGCCGTGCGCCCCATCCCCGCCCCTGCCGCTCTTCCACTCTGCTGTAGTTTCCATCTGGTCACATGCTTATTAATTAAGTACTTCTTCCAACGACTGTGCCTAATTAGGACAAAGTCGAGACCTTGGCTGAGCCGGGCCTTCTTGAAGCTTTCCTGTTCTTGCTATACCTCATTACCCTCCCCGCCCAATTTGTTTGACAGCCCTGCTCCGTGAAGACAATTGCTCCCAGGTGTGTGCGCGGCTGCCGCCCGCATGCACTCACACACAGACACATGCACGCACTGGGCTTTTCAGGTGCAATCCTGTGGTTGGGGACGCCCCTGCGTTCTACACCCCCACCCCCCACCCCCCTGAACAGCGCTGGGCTTCTTGGAGAGTCCCTCCTTGGGTGGTCCGACCATGGCGCTCCATCCTGGTCTCTGTCCAGCCTTTCCTGTGACTCTTGTCTTGCCCTGTTCCTGGGGAGGGGGCTGGAGCCGGGCGTCAGAGGCAGGGCACTGGAGGCAGGGCCCCGGAGGCAACGGGCATTTGTGGATCCTGGAGGTGGGCAGGAATCTCTTGTCTTCCATGGATACAGGAGGGTTGCCCATGTGTTTGGGTGGGTTTTCTAGAGAAACAAAACCAGCGACAAGCAATACATGTCTGATAGAGAAATGTCTAGCAAGGGATGCTTAGCAAGGAAGCAGCCAGCATAACGGCAGAGCTGCAAGCCCAGGGCAGCACAAGTCCGTGGGGCAGGCAGATGCCCTTTCTGGTTCATGTAGCTGCCGGAAGTGGGGTACCAGGAGGCTGGAGAATGAAGCAGGAGGAAGGGCTGCAGGTCACTGACGCAGAGTTGAGTGGATCCAAGGGAGGCCGCCCACATGCCAGGCCACCAGCCTCCATCCCCAGGAACTAGACACAGGATCCAGGCCAGTGGGAGGAAGGAGAGGAGGAGCCCGTTCTCCCCAGCATGTGTGGATAGATATGAAATAGGCCACGCCCCAAAGGAGCCTGCCTTCATCAGGCTGACTTGCACCTTGGGGGGCCGGGGCTTAGTGCCACCCTGCTGAGGATGGTGGCCCAGGTAAGCTGACTGAAAACTTAACTATCCTACCTGGTCTGCGCTGGGCTGACTGTGGGGGCCCAGTGAGTGGTCAGTCCTGAGCCTACAGAAGAGGAGAGCTGAAGATGGTGCGGCTGGGGGTGCCAGGCATCGTCGGGCGAGGTGGTTTTCTGAAACCAAAGGGCAGCCTTGAAGATGAAGGGGGAAATACAGAGTCAGAGGAGCGGGGGAAGTTCGGAGTGAACATAGAATGAAGCCAGTGGGCACGTAGGCTCCACCCAAGGGACAGTCTCTCATTCGCTGATCATTCTCCGCACGCCCTTGTTGCCTTATGCCAAACAGACCACAGAGTTCTTTGACCCAAACAGATGACGGCAGTCGGGCCAGGAAGTCCAAAGGCTATGACCCATTGTAGGGTGTAAAGCCACCTTCTTGTTAGTGGAGTCTTTCTCCCCAAGCCATTGGACATCGAAAAGCATACCTGTTGGGCTGAGAAGACGTTTGGACAAGAATGCAGCTGTGGAGGAGCGGGGGTTGGGCTTCTGGGGCAAGGCTGCTCTGCAGAGAGCAGTCATGTCAGGTGGTGCGGGGCGGGGTGTCACCCCAGGTCATGTGTCAAGGCTGGGGAACTCTAGCGGGGCCCTGCCGCCAAGCTGGGGGGTGGCCTGGGGCCCGCTCCAAGCTGATGTGCCCCAGGAGTCTGGTGCTCCCTGGTTCTCCTGACAATGAAGCTTGGGAAGCGAGCGCATGATTGCCTCACCGTCCTGGACTTAACCAGAGATAAAGAACTTCATGGTCTTAGCTGGGCCACAGATGTGAAAACCCCATTGTGAGGCGGGCATGAAGCATGGTGAGACCTGCTTCCGAAGGTCACAGCGTGGGACAATCGTATTCTGCACATGGGGGTGGTGGTGGTGGTGGGGCCTGGAGGTCAGGACTGGCTTGACCTTCACCCCAACCCCCCACCCCTCACCTGAAGATGGTCGTTGCCAAAAGAACCTGAACTAATAGGACAAGGCATCCAGGAGCGACCTGTGGGGTGAAGGTCACGCTGCCCCACAAAGTGGTTTGTTCATAAACAGAGCGGGACAATGGCGGGTGCTCACAAGACTCAAAGGTACCCAGAGCCTGTCAGAGAGGAAACTATCATGAGCTGTTCCGAGAGTGTGCATGAAGGTCTGGGGCCTTCTCAGGGCATCTGGAGTCACTGGTGGTGCCAATGGTCAATGTGCCCGGCTAGTCCTTGGGAGGTCGGAGGTTCAAGCCCACCCAGAGCTCTGTGGGTAGGGAGGCCTGGTGATCTACTTATGAGAAACCAGCCAATGAAAACCCTACGGAGGAGCACAGTTCCACTATGACGCTCCTGCGTCACTGGGCGTTGGAACTGACTCGGCAGCATGTTTCACTAATTGTCACACTCAGATCCTACCCCTGGCTCTTCCAGCACCACCGTGACCAAGACCCAGCCCACGGGCTAGAGTGGATATGAGTAAGGAAGAGAAGCCAGCCAGGCGGCCAGGGTCACTACCAACAGTGATTTCCAGAACAGAATGGTTGGCTTTGTCCTCCTCTCCCACACCCACCTTTTGGATAACCTGCTTCCAGGATATCCTTTGGGGCAGCAGGTGAATCCTACACAGGTTCAACTTCTTCCCCCTCAGTCCTCTGGAACCACATGGATTGACGATGTCCCTTCCTGCCAGAACTTTCTGGAAGGCCAGCTACTGCTGCCTGTTGAGCTCCCTTCACTGCCCTGCCCCTGCCTGCTGGGGCCTCTCAGTCTGGAGTGGACACCGACTAGACTTTGGGAGATCACAAGAGTGCCTGCCCCTTGACCTTTGTACCCACACCTAGTCAGGCACCTATTAGCCTCTTGGGAAGGTTTGCTGGGCAAGGACTTTTCTGCCAAGACCCAAATGGTACACCCAAGTGCAAAACTGCAGTCCGTTAAGGCATGTGCCCCCTTTCTCCCCAACTTTCCTTCCTGTGTGTCTGCGAGGGGGCATGCAGGGCAGTGCCTGGCTGCCTCTGTGATGGGCATTTGGAGACTGGGTCCATGATGCTGTATGGGGTGTGCCCTGTGGGAGCAGTGAGCACCGACACCCCTGGAAGCTGCTCAGGAGAAGGGTGAGGCATGCCGCAGCCTGTCCCATCCTTCCCCACACTGAGACATTCATGTTGCCAGTGACATGCAGCGCTCTCTGACATCTATTTTCTCTTGGAAAGAAGGAGGGGGATCCCTCAAGCACAGGGCTGAATCACATTTCATGTTTCTGCTTTTACCACTAAGCTGAGGGTTCTTGGTTGTGAGACAGCGGAAATAACAGGAAACGGCAGGAAGCCAAGTATCGCTAACTATGGGCCAAGGACAGCAGGTTCCTAGATCCCTCCCTGGGATTAGGAGAAAAGGACACGCCCACCTCCCACAGCCCCCTTTTCTTAGATGAGGACATTTATTGAATACTGCAGCTAGCTGAGAAGCCATTTATTGGATCTTGGCACTAGAGACCAAAAAGCAATGCACATACATGTTGTTCTTTGAACTGAAATGGACAAGCCTGAACAAACACCCAACTGCTTACATCAGGGGTCCTCAAACTACGGCCTGCAGGCCACATGCAGCCCGCTGAGGACATTTATCTGGCCCGCCAGGTATTTGTGCCCCATTTGTTTTTTTACTTCAAAATAAGATATGTGCAGTATGCATAGGAATTTGTTCACAGATTTTTTTTTTAAAACTATTGTCCGGCCCTCCAACGGGGCTGAGGGACAGTGAACTGGCCCCCTGTTTAAAAAGTTTGAGGACCCCTGGCTTACATAAGAAGAATCCCCTCATTGGTTTCAGAAAGGGATGGCAGCTTGGAGAGGAGTCTCTCTTTCCAGTGATGGGGGCTCCTGTTCAATGTATGTTGGACCATGAAGAAGACATGGTACAGCAATCCATTCATTCACTTTTCAAAGTCTGATGGTTGGACACACCTTTCTCCCTGTCCCACCCACTCGGCCCCTGGGTACAGACTGTGTTACACGTAGATGCTCAATCCAATAGGTTTGTATTTATAAACTTCCTGTAGGGTCTCTCTGAAAAGCCAAGAACTAAAGAAAAATAGCCTCCTTTCTACGAACGCAAATGAAGTCAGCTCAGAATACACCAAAATCTATCAAAGAAGGAGCCTATATGAGCAAGGAAACAAATGCCACCCCTCCCCCCGGCCCCCGCCCCCTGCCCTGCGGGGCCACTACACGGTGGTGATCTTCTTGTCCTTGGTGGCTTGCTTGATGGCCGCCTGCTCGCAGATGATCTCCTTGAGTCGCTGCAGCCTCATGTTCTGCGTGGTCTGGTCCCCGACCCCCGTCTGGCTGCGATGCAGCAAGGTCAGGGCGTGGATGTACTCCAGCTCTGTGTACTTCACGCCCTGGTCCACCACCAGGTTCAGGAGCTCATCCGCCGTGTTGTACAGCATCTCGTAGTACTGTCTGCGGAAGCAAGACAAACACTGCTCAGTGTCTCCTGTCGGCGCTGCCATTTCAGGGGCAGTGTCTATGCTCAGGGTTTATGGGCTCAGTCATCCTGTCCCAGGCCATGGGGCTCTCGTGGCGAACACGACAGACCTGGTCTCTGTTCTGGGGGTACCCTCTCAGTGAAAAGTGGTCTCTGCAGATGCAGGGAGGCTTCAGGGGCTCCGTCTAGACCAAGGGTTCTCAACCTTCCTAATGCCGCGACCCTTTCATACAGTTCCTCATGTGGTGGTGACCCCCCCCCCCACCCCAACCACAACATTATTTTTGTTGCTACTTCGTAACTGTCATTTTGCTACTACCATGGGGCAACCCCTTGTGAAAGGGTCATTCGAACCCCCAAAGGGGTCATGACCCACAGGTTGAGAACCGCTGGTCTAGACTCCTGGTTTAGCATTTGCCTCAGAAAGACCAAAGGCCAAGAGGGCTAGGGGAGAGAACTAGGCACATGGCGCACAGGGCCAACAGCTCTGGTCTCACTCACTCATCCATTGGTGGCTGTGAAGTCCGTGGTCCTCTCGTCCGTAAGTGGAATTACAAAAGCACAGCGAGGCTCGCTGTGTTACGCAGGGCAGACACTGCATTGCTCACAAATTGAGAGTCTGTGGCAATCCCCCTCTGAGTAAGCCTCTCGGCGCCATGTGTCCAACTGCAGGTGCTCACGCCCTGTCTCTGTGTCCCACTTTGGCCCTTCGCACAAGATTGCAGCCTTTGTTCCAGATGCTATGGCACACGTCAGAGGCTACAGCAGATAGGCAACTTTTGTCTGGACTGGGAAACCCAAACAGTCACCTGACTCGCTTCCTGGCGATGCCCCTCTGTATTGGGGTGGTCTGGGGCTGACCTCACAGTATCTCTGAGGTCTGCCCATATCGACATTTTAGGGGCATGAGCAAGATTCAAGGAATCACAGACACAGGGCACAACTCCAAGTGTTCGACAGGCTTGAGCTACTCGGCAGATCATGATGAGCGATGGGGCTCGTGGTGTACAATGCTGACCAAGGCAGGGCCCCTACTCAAAGAGCTGAGGCCAGGGAGACAGGCAGAGGCCAGGGTGGCAGGTGCTCAAAGGCAGAGCTCGGGACTGCCTGCCTGGCGACAGAGTCCATCCCATGCACTGCACCCTGTCGCCCTCACCTTGAACTGGAATCAGCCCCGTGGTAGCGGGCTCATTTGCTCCGGAGCGAGGAATCCATTCGAGAGGAGGTAAGGGATTTGCCCACTGCCACAGCGACGGTGACTCTCCCCGGACACGAGCTCAGGCTTCCGAGTTCAAGCAACATCCTTCTTCACCGACGCAGACAGCTACCAAGGGGAATGTCCCACTCGGTGCATTCCCTCTAGAGAAGCCCACTCGTAGAGTTGCCTTTTGTGTTGTGAAACATACATACTGTATATACTCGGGTATAAGCCGAGTTTTTCAGCACATTTTTAATGTAGTTTTGGTGGTAAAATTAGGCGCATTGGCTGATATCTGGGTCGACTTATATTCGAGCATATATGGTATTTGTGATGAAGAAAAAATTTAAGCAATAAAACCTTGCCTCATTCTCAAAAAAGAAGAATGTCCCAGGGTCATGGGTGATGTATAAATGCAATGACTTTCGGAAGGAGACACTGTACCACGTGGGGGTGGGGCAGTCAGGGAATCCTTCCTGTGAGGTGGGATTCTTTCTGTCAGGCAGGGCTTCCAGGAAGGACAGAGGAGATGGCGGGACAAGCGGAGCTCCACCTGACATGGGGAGAGGCGGGCAGGAGCAGCTCTGGCTAGACTCGAGTATGGGGAACACACGGGGCATACTGGGAAAAGGCAGTTGGCGGCAGAAGGTGGAGAGCTCCAGCTTGGCTTAAGGCCTAATTAAGTCAGCAAAGGATGCTCCCCTCTCATCTGCGGAGGGCGGAGGCACCGACTAAGCTGTGTTTCGGGAAGCCTGCTGCGGCCGCGGCGTGTGCAACGGTCCAGGAGCTGGACGGGGAGGGCTTCTGTGACCGGAATGGGCACCAGCGTGACTCTGCAGTGCAGGTAGAAGATAGACACAGCCTCGGGAAGTGGACAAGGAGCCCACTGACCTTCTTAAAGCAGCAGTAGGCCACTAACAGTCCTCATGATGCCACGAGAACCACCGGGCGCCAGGCCAAGGTGTGCATGGTCACTCCATGTGTCTCACGGGGTCCACTCTACTGCAGGCTCTAAGCCAGCATGGCTCTCACAGCCCAGGAGCAAAGGATGGGGCGACTTCCCAGGGAAGGCTTCCTTCCAGTCCTCTTCCCGATGGCTTCTGCCAGGACGGGTGGGGGCCAGAGCAAGGCCAGGGCCTCAAGGCAGCTCTTGGGGAGAAGGGCTCTAACCACCCTCCCTGGACCACTGACTGCCCTGCTGGGGTCCAGGCCTCAGTGGGTTTCTTTGTCATCAGAAACAGCCTGAAGAAGAAAAGATGGATGTTCTCGGGGAAAACGAAGCCGTTCTTGGGGTAGGGAACAGATTCTGGGAGCTGGATGTAGGGAATCAATTCTGGGAGCTTGATAGTATCAGGAACATTTCACAAATGGCTGCTCGAATGAGAATGTGGTCAAGAAGCATTTCGACGTCTTCTAGGACAGCTAGTTCCTCCTCTTGCGCTGCTGCTAAGCCTCTCGATCGAATGAATGATTGTGTGTGGTAAAATAGAAGTGACCAAAGGCTTACCATGTTTGCCACTGTGTCCATGTAGAGTTCATTGGCATGAACAGCATTCACCAGGCTGTGCCACCACCACCACCACCACCACCCATTTCCAAACGCTCCCCATCGCCCCACATGCAAACCCAGTCTCCCGTAATAATTCTCCATTTCTTCAGCCCCCACCCCTAGGAACCACTAATAAAGATTCTCTTGAGGTCTTGGCCCACTGTAGATATTTCATATAATTGGGATCTATTTGTCCTTTGTCTATGACTTATTTCACTTGGCAATGATGTCCTCAATTAGAAGCTCTCTCTTAGAGTTGAGATTATTCTCTTGTAAGAATAGGCCACGTTGTATTTACCCATTCATCGGTTGATGGGCACTGGGCTGATTCTACCTTGACATACACCTTTTTAAAAGAGGAGCAGTAATATTTCTTAAATAGGGGCAAGGGTGGGAGTGCTCATCTTAAATCGGGAAGTTAACACGTGTCTCCTAGGAGCAATTCTTTAGTGTGGCCACATAGAGGGTTCTCTAGGTGGCCTTGTCAAGGTTTCACATGAGTGTGCATTTTAACCTCACGGAACCAAGAATTTAGGAATCACTGATGGAGGGTAACCAAGAGCGTTTCTGATAAAAGAAATGAACTCTACCCTCTCGGAGCTTGGGGTCCAATATCAACTATAGTCTGGGCATCTTTTGAAGCTTCGGGTTTAGTGTAAAGACATGTGAACTTTAAAACCTACTCTGTTGTGCTGCCTGTTATTCAATATGGATAACTAGAACTCTCCAGCCCCGCTGTGGGGAAAAGGTAAAGCAGTCTGTTTCCACAAAGACTGACAGCCTTGGCAATTTACTGGATGGAGCGGACCCGTTGTAATTTGGACACGATGTCTTAAGTTGCCTCGGGGGTGTCCATGCAGAACCTGTCCGTCGACCAAGCGGCGGCCATTAGAACACAGAGCGAATACTAGCGCGTGGGTGAGAGGCAGACAAGGTGTGCACCGGGGCTGTTCACCCCTCACTGTCCCTGTTCCCGCTGTGTGCTGAGAAGCTGGACTGTAGGAAGAAGGACACAGCACCGGGACTGGAGAAAGACTCCTTAATAACTTGTGATCGGCAGATGACACAAGTGGAGAGGATTTGAAGCACTTACTGGTAAAGGCCAAATGCTGTGGCCTTCGATTTGAATTACAAACACACACACAAATTCCGACAGGTGGACCAAGGAGCAGCAGCATGATAAAAGCAGGAGAGCAGATCGCACGCAGTTGTCCTGGATTTCACTGCACCTGGACCCACAGCCCATGCCCTAGGAAGCAGCAGTCAGGGACTCAACCGAGGCAGGAGGGGGCTTATAGTTCCCTTCTCTCACAAACCCTTGGAAGGCCCTCCTATGGCACTGGGCAAATGTGCCAAAGGCCTCCCCAAGTGAAAAAGTCAATGGGTCACTTTGAGAACTAAGGGACGTGGGACCTTCCATTGCCTCGTGTGCACGTGACAGCTGGGCAAGGATGGAGGACCAGAGAAGGGCCGATGCTTGTGGGTCACGGTGCTGCCGGAGAACTGGCGCTGCCAGGCGGATGAGCAATCTGTCTTGGAGGGAGGGCAGCCAGAAC